CCATGAGGTTGGCACAGGCCCATGTTTTTCCTGAAGCTTGTCATTCACACACAAGCATTACCTTTCTAAATTTCAAACAGAAATACCAGCTGCCCTCTCAGACACTCCCACATTAAAGATATGGAGCAACTTTCACTCTAGAGCAGATTTCACAGGGATGTTGAGTTGGCCTTTCATGTGCGTCATTTGTAAGTCCTGTGCAGTCTAGTCCAACTTCTGTCAGAGCACAGGATGATTAAGAAACAACTCTGATTTCTTCCTCACAATATTCTGGCTGCTGATATAGTACCACTGTTTTTGCATAGAGAACTCTCTGCTATTACTTAAAACTTTTCTTTATAATCACAAAAATTAGTTCTTGTTTTGCTGTGAGAGGGACTTCTAAACAAGCAAAAGAAACTACAGCTGGCCTGCCACAAGACTGAGCAATCCGAAAATCTTTATGCCAAGAACTTATAGCAGGTGAATTTATTTATTTATGTATTTTGACATTCCTTCTTTCTTCTTCCTATTTCACAGACTATCTTAGGAGAAACCAGCATAAATAAGTTTACTATTTTCCCTCAGCAGAATGCAGTTTAGTAAAAAAGGAGAGTGAATGTGAGAAGCTGAACTTAACCCTGCCTAATCACAAACTGTATCAGAGGGGTCAAGTGTTACTTTGGTGAAATTTTGAGTGGTTAAACTTTATACATGATGGATCTTTTTTAGAATCCCTTCTTACTCCAGTCAGCTTTTCCTGTTTTCTTCTACTGGCTCTTTTGCCCATTCCTTAATAGATTATATAGTTATGATCCTTCTTCTAAATGCTTTCATTTTAAGTTAGTTAAACCAGAATCAGATGAGACCATTTACATCTAGTCCCTTTTTACTAGCTTAAGCAAAATGGGTTTCACTGAAATCAGTTGACAAGGGTTCAGGAGTTCTTCAAGATGTGTTTGCATTGGGTTGGAATCTGCCCTGTGGGCATCAGTCTGTGTCCCTATAGAGGGATGAGCAATGGGGAGTCAATTACCTACATCTCCAGTGGTCCTTCTGACTCAGCACTGAGTCATCTGATGGGATGCCATACAGGAAGCTTGCACTGTCATTGCCTGCACTTCTTTTATGGGTAAGACAAGAGTGCCAATCTTTGGGATTGCCACGCCAGCAATTGCTCACTCCCAGACTAAGTGCAGCTCCACCCAACCCTGTATGGATCAGATAGGTCAGCAATTTCCCTGGGAGCTGAATTCCCTTTCACAGCTTTCCCTTCAAGAAAAACCACATTGGTTGCTCAGATTGAAGAGCCAGACTAAGTGAATCTATTCCTGCAGGAAATTATGTACCATATGTGCTCAACTTACAGTCATCAGATGTGCCAAAGAATGAATGTGATGAGGATTTTAGGGTCATTCACGGCAGTGGAACTGCTTGGAGCTGAGTTTGAATAGTTTTATGGTAAACAGCAACTTCGGCCATGAAGGGATTCTTTAGTTAAATACTTAAAGAGAAAGATCTTGGAGGGAAGTGAACACTGGTGTGTATCCATCTGTGTTTTTTCCTCTTGCTGCTTTTTAAAGAGTTCCTTGGTTCCTACCTTCTCTCCACCCTGTCCTGGTTCAGGGTCACCATGGTTTGGGAGCAGACAGATCCGCTTCTGTTTGAAGCTTGTCAGAGCCAACTTGTGCAGCAAGCCTGCTACCCTGAACTTCGGGAGAGCAGAGTTTAGCCTCTTCAGGGAACTACTTCAGGGAACTGATTGGCAGAGTTCCATGGGATGAAGCCCTGTAGGGAAGAGGGGCACAGGAAAGCTGGTGAGTATTCGAGGATCTTCTCCTCCAAGCTCAGGAGCGATGCATCCCAGTGAGGAGGAAGTCCTGGACAGGCTGGAGAGGTGGGACCATGCCAACCTCATGGAGTTCAACAAGGCCAAGTGCAAGGTCCCGCACCTGCGTTGGGGCAATCCCCAGCACAAGGACAGGCTGGGTGGAGAATGGATCAAGAGCAGCCCTGAGAAGAAGGACTTGGGGGTACTGGGGGATGAAAAGCTGAACATGAGTCGGCCGTGTGCGCTGGACGCACAGGTCCTGGGCTGGATCAGGAGAATTGTGGCCAGCAGGGCGAGGGAGGGGATTCTGCCTCTGTACTCCTCTTTGGGGAGACCCCATCTGGAGTTCTGCGTCCAGCTGTGGAGCCCTCAACACAAGAGAGATATAGACCAGTTGGACCGAGTCCAGAGGAGGCCACGAAGATGCTCCGAGGGCTGGAGCCCCTCTGCTATGGGGACAGGCTGAGAGAGTTGGGCTTGTTCAGCCTGGAGAAGAGAAGGCTCCGGGGAGACCTTATAGCACCTTCCAGTGCCTGAAGGGGCTACAAGGAAGCTGGGGGGGACTTTTTACAAGGGCATGTAGTGACAGGACAAGGGGTAACGGGGTTAGATGGAAAGTGGGGAGGTTTATATTGGACATCAGGAAGAAGTTCTTCCCGGAGAGGGTGGGGAGGCACTGGGACAGGTTGCCCAGAGAAGCTGTGGATGCCCCATCCCTGGAAGTGTTCAAGGCCAGGCTGGATGAGGCTTGGAGCAACCTGGTCTAGTGCCAGGTGTCCCTGATCATGGCAGGGGGGGTGGAACTAGATGATATTTAAGGTCCATTGCAACGTAAACCATCCTGTGATTCTGTTAACTAACGCTTGCAGCGAGCTTGGTGGAAAGCACAGCAACGCATTCCTGTCTGCTTTCAAGATAGCTGCTCCCCACAGGCAAGGCACTTTAAATAACAAATATTGTTTAAAGGACAATTTAATATTCTGGTCTATATTTACAGGCCAAGAATGAGCACAGTGCATTTGAATGTACAGTGATGGGGGTGGATGGTCTGTGGACGATAGGACGCTGAGTAAAATAGGGGGGTTGGTTTTCTTTCTGTTGTGGCAAAGAAATGAGACTTTGAAAAAAGGCAGTCACAGAGGTAGGTACAGTTGTAAATTAATTCTTCCTTGATTTTCACATCATTTGGACTGTCGCACATTAGCTGGCCATATTGTATTTAAAGGTGTTTGGGTTTAAACAAGAACAATATGTCCTCCAGCTGTTTCATTTCAACTACCTTAAATAGCTCTACAAATGCATTTTTCTCATCTGGGACCACAAGTGTGTGAAATAAGTGTTCTGAAGCCATGTAGTTTCTGCCTAAAATTTCAGGTTTTCCCATAGACTTTAGCATCTTTGTGTAGATGAACAGCCCATGGAGTAGGCCAGAAGCATTGGTGCTATGTCACTGCCTGGAATTACATTTTCTCAGGACTTGAGCTTTTCCTGTTTACACCTTTCCCTGAATAAGTGCTGAACCCTCTTCTCATGCCTGCCTGGGTTCTAGGGCAGCGGGAGCCCCTGGGTCTTCACCTCGATAGGGTCTTCGGTGAGTATTGCTGCCTTGACAAGAGAGCAAGAGAATCATTAAGGAGGATCAGAGCAAATGGAGTGAACAAACATACAACCACAAACAGGCAGCTACTTGTTTCAGTTGTTGACATGTACCCAGCAGTTTCCTTTTCTTATCATCCAAGGCTTTCAACAAACAGCATTGAAATTTGATCTTTGTTTTTCAGATAAAAACTGTGCTATGGTGGTATTTTCCTCTTTGTCAGTAATTTCCCAAGTCAAAATTGATGGCCTTAGCTAAGCTGAAAGTTTGCACTGTTTATGTCAAGCATCTCATTTTGTGAGAGGATTGTTAGTATGTAAAGACACTGACCCAGAACTGTGATTTATCTCCCCCCTACTGTTAGGGATCACAGCTGGGGAAGTATGCTCATGCAAAAGTGATGCTAGAAGTCCTCCTTCTGAAGAAATGTAAGTGCTTATATGGGACATCCCATCAGTACTAAATAAAACAAGACTAAAGCACAGACTAAATAAAACAAGGTGAAAGTGTCCTTACGAAGATGTGACGTGCTCCTAACATCAAGGCAGGGATAAAATTTAGCTAGTTTCACAAAAGCTTCCTACCAGTGGCGTTTTTTTAGATAACCCAGTCTGTATTTCAGACTAAGATACTCTCTACCTTGACCCAAGCCTCTACCATCCAAAACTTACTACCCAATATTTTCCTGGAGACATTTTCCCTTTTTATCTCTGTCCTCTACCTTACAGTGCTCATCATGGTACAATAACAGGAACCACATGTAGAGGCATGAATGGCAGGAGATAAGTTTCAAAGCATTTGCACAGAAACACAGTTGGTACAGCTGAATCAGATCTTACTTTCTTCATGTGTGTTCCAGTCAGCTTCTCGACGTGGGACTTTTTTCTTAACACATTTCCCCAGGAACTACCGTTAAACGGTGGAGGAGGGAGACTGTTTTCATGGTACTGATTGCATTCTGTGTAGTAATTAACTATCTGCGTTTATATAGCATTTTTCTGGGCATCTGTAGGTCACACAAATAAAAACATCTCCACGTTGACAGCAGTACCCAGTAAGCCCTGAGTGCAGTTTGGCAGTTAGATCCTACACCTTGATCACAATGTAGACAATCTGTGGGTTTTGTTTTCTTTCCACAGACAGCTTTATCCAGAGACCTTCAAGACCATCCACAGAAACAGTCCACCACAACCCCCCAACCATTGAACTGTTACATCGTTCTAGATCACCCATCACCAACAATCACCGTCCATCACCAGATCCTGATCAGCGGCCACTGAAGTCCCCTATGGACAGCACTATCCGTCACCTCTCCCCAGCTGACAGAGTGCCAGCAGGGACAAGGCATCAGCAAGAGAACAACCACCAGGAGCCCTATCCTCTCTCAGTGTCCCCGATAGAAAACAACCACTTTCCACCTCCTGAGGTGCTCCAGAAGCCTTCCAGCCCTCGCCAGGAGAACACCAGGGTCATCCAGCTGATGCCCAGCCCTATCATGCATCCTTTGATACTGAACCCCAGGCACTCCGATTTCAAACCACCAAGGTTGTCTGAGGATGGGCTGCACAGGGATGTAAAGCCAATCAACCTGTCCCACCGAGAAGAGTTAGCTTATATGAACCACATCATGGTGTCTGTAGCCCCTCCTGAGGACCATGCAATGCCAATTGGAAGAATAGCAGGTAAGTGACATTCTCTAGGCTACACCTGAGTTATCTTCTTCATTCATAACTCACTATGCTGTCTATTAAGAGCTTCTCGTTTCCTCTTGCTACTCTGTGACCTCAAGAGCTTACTGGCATTCTGCAAGTTTCACCACATCTGAGGTTTAGACAGCTAAGTATGATTAAGCCAGTTTCATGGCAAGGTAAGCAAAGGTGCAGAGTGACTTGCTCCTGACCACAGAATGCGTAATTGGTATCGAAACATTTGTGTCCTGACGCTCACTGCCTCTCTGCCCGCTAGCCATCCATTTGTTTCCCGGCATACCTCTTGCCAGAGCCTTGTCCTGCAAAGAGGTAATTATCCAAGAGTTGCATTCGCATTAGTGTCCAGTCCTATGGAAAGGAAAAACCCCCTCTGGCAGGGGCCTTTGAGTTAATGCAGTGCCAAGCCCACTACTGTGGAGGTGGTGGGACTAAGGAAATACCACCTTGGAGTCCTCCTTCGTGGCTTTCCTGTGCTTCTCACACGAGGATTGTCCCTTTTCACAGAAACAAGGTTGCCTTTGTTCCACGCAAACCACAGGCATTGTCTCACTTTTGTTATCGTAAATAACTGACATCACAGCAGCTGAATCAGGAAGCTGAGGTTACAGAAAATGTTTTTTGTACTTGAAAGGGAACTGTAAATAGATAGGGAGAGGGGGAAGGGGAATCCAACCACTTCAGAACTATGCCGAATGCCCCAGTAACCAATTTCTTTTGGGAGGTGTAAATACACACCACACCCAGAAACATTCCATGCATTTATGTCAGCAGTGAGCTGACGCGATACCCGGCTCCTGTGGGGTATTACACATGTCCACAGAGTTACGTTTTAAAACACCTCGTTCTTCTTGGTCCTTACATGCCTTAAATTTGTGACAGATGTGGCACTGCCTCAGCTTTAATGAGGAAGACGTTCTGTGTTCTTACAGCTAACCACTTAAATGGTACATACCTCACCGTCTAGTCAAACATCAAGCACAAGGGCTACGATCCTTTCACGTGATGGAGATATGGGTTACAGAAATTAATCTTTTGATATTTTTGCATGTCTGATATTTGTCTTCTGATTTTTATTACCCACGCTATTCTCAGCAAGTTAAGAAATAATGTTATGGCAGAGAAGATACCTTAGTGGTTGCGTTACTGGAGATTTTCTTTCCATAAAGCACAATTGGAAGATGAGAGGGGTTGTTAATTTTTACTTTTCAGAAGGAAACTTTCTCTAAGAATGAAGTTTAGACTGAAAAGAATGTAAGAAACAATATGGGTAGCAGGTGGTGGTGTAATTTTTTTTTTATTTAAACCCAGAAGTTTTCTTATGTAATTAGGAATTCTTGTTCTCTGCATGTTGTCGGCTGTGTCCAGTGACACCAGCCCTGTAACTGGTACTCCCATGTCTTTTCCATCCTTGTGTTGTTTGCAGGGCAACAGTGCCCAAGCCCATGGATACTTGGGCCTAACACGGTTGCTTGGCAAGTATGTGGAGCAGTTTAAAGTGTTATAAACGGGCCATATTTGCATGCTTAGCTGCTTTCACTTGCAGTCTCGTGACTTTGCTTAGACTCACCAGCATGGGTGGCTTGTCTTAAAAAGCTGGTGAAGCATTTCATGCCAAGAAGAACTGAGGTGTACTCAGGCATTCAGTTCCGATGAGGGCAGTGCTTTATGGCCAAGGGTTGGGGATTACATAGGTGGCATTTGCAAGCATCTTGGATTCCTACTGATAAATTTACCGGTGTACTTCTGTTAGTAGCCCATGTCCTTTAACTGTAAGCACCAACAAGCACCACTTGCTCTATAGGCACAAGCTCCTGCTATTCTGGTTGGGTTGTAGGGGCTCCTGACCTGTAGCTGGACCCTGTAAAGGGCTCACTGCCAATTTAAAGGTGACAAAACCCCGTACTACCAAAACTGTAGGCAGCCCATGTTTCATGCCTGAAATCAACTTCATCGATGCTATTGATTTCAAAGGCAACATTCTTAGGCCTCCTAGAAAGAAAGCACACACCTTTCTGCCTGTTTCCCCCCCACTCACAGCCTTCAGCTTAGAGCTCTTGCCATTACATGGTTTCATTTCAACAACATTTCTGGTTTTATGTCAGCATAAATCTGTTTTCACCTGAGTGTCCTTATCTTCACTGACATGGCTACAGTTAGCATGGAGGCTTTTGACCAACTACGGCTCGCCACTTTGATTTGAGAGAGCCCGTGAAAATTCAGCACTTGGCTGTTAAACTGCAAATATACATCAACACAGATGTATTGTTAAGAAGAGCTTTTTAAAAATCACTGGCATTATTTCCATTTTATGGATGAGGAAGACTGATGGATTGGGTAATGAAAAGATTTACCAGTAGTCCAGTGCCAGAGCTAAGTGCTTACCTGTTTACACTGCTGAGAAGAGAGCCTTGACTTTCTACTGCCTTAACCATTTGCATGCAGGTGGTTTTCAGGGGAGATAGCGATGAGGACCAGCTACCAGGGAAGCCCCATGGGCTGCTGACTAAAACATTGGGCTGAGCTCCAAAACATGTTCTATTCCCAGCTCAGATATTTTAAATTGTAAAAGGAATTCTTCCTGGACTTAAGATACCTCACAGCCTCGTAAACCTGTTTACGTGCAGATAGAGTCTATTTTTAAATGCAGCATACAGTTACTTGGTGCTGAGAAGGAAAACAATGTTTTCGCTTGCTTCTATCCACAAATACTCTGTTTTCAGGAGGTTGATTGATAGAGCTCTGGACTTCCTGTCAGACAAACGACCTCTACTCACTGGCTGACTACTCCTTCCTACCTTTTTATGTAATAGCATTTCTCAAAATATTAATTTTACTGGTAAAGCACTTTCCCTCTTACAGCAAAGAATTTCAAGTTGAAGGTCTTACTTCTCCTCTAAGGCCATTTTACACTTTTCTACCAGAGCAAGAGGCATAAAGTATCTTTATATCACTCATTAAGGTCCCATATATTATTCATCAGTGGCTAGAGCTGATTTTAAAAATCACATTTAGCTGTCTTCTCAACAAAATATGCACGAGTCTTTCCCATACCTTTGTCAGAACTAGAGGTCATTCTGTTGGGGTGATCCAAAGGCAGGCTTGTATCCCCTGTAAATACACCAGGCAAAGGTTAAGCTAACTAACTCAGGCACCAGTAGTCATCTAGCTATGACAGCACTTAAAACAGTAAAAATATCTCAGAAGGGGAGTTTAGCAGAGCAGTGTAATGGACAATTTTCCCCGCTGGAACTGCTAATTCAAAGCATCAACAGTGTTTGTTGGTAGTCAGTTCCTAACCTGGGCTCTGGCAAGCAGGCGATCCATCTGGCTTACTTTTAGCTCTGAATTTTTCAAATAGGCCATCTTGGTTCCCCTCAAATAGTCTCCAAGGCTCCAAGGGTCTCACTCTGGGCGGGGGGGGGGGGGGGGGGGGGTTTTTTTTTTTTTTTTTTTTTTCTTATTTTTTTTAAACACAGTTGCAGTTTCAGTCAAGAGAGAGGCTTGAAACTGGCTCTTCTGCAGAACAGAAATTCCACTCCCCGTACACCTCTGACTGGGAGGGTTTTGTTATCAAACATTTTAGGACTTTGATATCTCATAAAAGGTGCTTCCTCACGGTACAGCAAAAGGCATCGGCAGGCGTTTGTCGCACATCACGGCTGCGGCGTGCGCGGCGGCCCTGGAGGAACCACAGCCACCAGAAACCCTCCCTGCAGCCATTCGGAAGTCCTGGCCCCATGGCTTTCCTTCGGAGCTCTTCCCTGTCGACTTCGACCACGGCAGGTTTTCACCACAAAACCTTATCATTTGGCAAAAAGGTCCTTTTTTTCAGATATCCATGTACACCTCAGCATTTTAGCACTCAGGGAAATGGGAATTGACATTAGATCTCACCAGAAACCTGTCAGTTGCTTAAAAGAAGACATAGGAATCCCTGCAAGAGGCAGTTAGGGGATTATCTGACGACCACAGGGTTGGTTTTGTTGTAAGTTTTATCACATAGAGGTTGTCTTAGATACCTTCCAGTTAGTCTAATGACCTGCTGGTATTTACCTCACTTTGATTCAGTTGCTTAAAACTCACTAATAACAATTCTGTATGTTTCTTGTGAGGGGAAATGCGTTGCTGAGCAGGTTCCTGAGATTTCCAGCTCCCAGTGCCTTTTTGTGTACTAGCTCTCTGGGACTGAAAGGTTTGTTTGCTAATCCACAGCCACCACTGGCCTTGAGACTTTGGGATACAGATAGAACTACTCCTTCGCTGGAGCGCTGCCCAGGACAGATATTAACCAACTGGCTGCACAGGCGTGAAAGGCAAAGTGCCCGAGAGCAGTGCTAGTTGTAGCTGGAGTCCCCTCAAGGGCTTCCTGTCCTGCTGCAGTTGGGACCCAGTAGGCTCCAGGTTGACTCTGTGGGTGCCTGAGGCAGACCTATCCCATTAGTACAAGAGGCTGAGAAGGATGAGCGTTGCTGTTTCTCCGCAGAGCTTCACCTTGCCTAGTGTTTTTTGTTCTGCTCTGCATTTGGGGGGGTGGGAAATCTACAGGCAGGACGCTCTTGTGCCTGTTGTTGTCTATTAGCATGCTGTTCTTATCAGCTGGGTTACCTTAGCAACTGGGCTGTATTTGACCTTAGGAGCTGCCAGATTTGTTTCTTCCCCTTACGGAGCCTGAGGAAAAGCCAGGTAATGTTTAAACTGTTCGGAGGCACATTGTCTGCTGCTGTATTGGTTTGGCCCATAAAACTGTTGACTGCTGTTGGAATGAGAACAGCCAAGATTCTTACCCTGCCAAAGTCCTGAGAGCTCTACCTTCAGCTTTGCTCCTGACTTACCTCAGCCCCTTGGTGTGCCACACATCCAGGGTACGGGGCTGTAGCACGGACCCTGCAGATCTGTAGCAAGAGGCATATAAGTGACGTCTCAGTAAAACCAGTCTGGCTACCGAAAGTGAAAACGCAGTCCCCTGTTAAGAG